CGCGTAATTCATGTTATTAACTTTCGACGATCGGGCAAGTTGTGGTTGTTATTATTGGTAAACTTTCTCCTTTTTTTCTGTTTTCTTTGTGTGAAATGCTATTCCACATGCTCCTTCAAGCAGATTTGGGCGCACCTGAAAAAAATTAGCTCGTGTGATTTGGGCTATAGTTGGTACACGCGCCACCTATTGGATAGTAACCTGTCAAAATATTCAATACAGAGCCTCTGTCGAATGGTCATCAAACTGAATAATATCGCTATCTCATCCTGACATCTAGTGGGACATCCACAGTATTCCTTCATCTCAAACAGCACCTGAGGGAGTAGGCTACATGATGATAAACAAGAAGATAGAAATTTCATTTATTAATGTTTTATTACAAAAACTTAAAAATTCAAGGCCCAAACATCCAAACATCAATTAAATAGAAAACCACTGCACATACATGCAATGGCAAATGTTTTCTCTCATCATCACACAAACATTGACCAAGAAGATAGGTTCGAATTGCCGAAAACAAGAAAAGTAAATCTATTTACATAGTTAGAGACTGAGATTAAAAAAGCCGGGCAGTTACATACATAGACAAGATGAACAGGCAGGTCAGTTAGGAGTCATACAGTTAAAATACTATCAAACAGAAATGAAATATTACAAACAATCTCATTGTTGTCCCTTGGCATTGCAAAGAATCTTGCCTAATACATATTTGCGGTACATCTTGCAGTGGAATTGCCTCATTACACATATTGGCACACGGTGGAGAAGAGACTCTGCATTCTGAAAAGGAATTTGAACATAAGAAAATGGTGCACATATGAAGTATATATCATAAGGGGACTATTTACAATCGAGGTGACAGTAATTTAGTTCTAGAAATGAAAACATTACTGTAGACCCATAAATGTGGACTTCCCAGATTTGGAATTGGCATTACCATTGAAATTTTCACGCAATTTCGCATTTTAACCCCCCTGATCTTTCACTGACTGATATAAAGTGATATTCACCATCAGAACAAATATCCCACAACTGTCTCCGTCTGTTTGCTTGTTACTTGGGTATTCAACAGTAGTCCACTCTCTGGTTGTTCCACGAGCANAGACGTACGACGGACGACGACCCATGGCAATAGCTCGGCTTGACGATGTCAAGGCAAGCTAAAAATTGATCGAATTTCACGTTAACCGCACTTATAAGTGTGTCCAAGATGCACATAGCTCCATTGCCCACACTTATTTTAAATGCGTCCAAAGCTAAAAAAATTTCCTTGCCCAAACTTATTTTAAGTGGTACTTTCTAAAAACCGGAATGGAATCAACTGGCACGGCGAGCGGCACTTATAGGTGTGTCCAATATGGACACAGCTCCATTGCCCACACTTATTTTAAGTGCGTCCAAAGCTAACAAATTTACGATTCGAACAAAATGGAAAAACACAAACAATCTCATTGTTGTCCTTGGCATTGAAAAGAATCTTACCTAATACCTATTTGCGGAACATCTTGCAGTGGAATTGCCTCATTACACATATTGGAACACGGTGGAGAAGAGACTCTGCATTCTGAAAAGGAATTTAAACATAAGAAAATGGTGCACATATAAAGTATATATATCATAAGGGGACTATTTACAATCGAAGTGACAGTAATTTAGTTCTAGAAATGAAAACATTACTGTAGACCCATAAATGTGGACTTCCCAGATTTGGAATTGGCATTACCATTGGAATTTTCACGCAATTTCGCATTTTAACCCCCCTGATCTTTCACTGACCGATATACAGTGATATTCACCATCAGAACAGATATCCCACAACTGTGTCCGTCTGTTTGCTTGTTACTTGGGTAGTCAACAGTAGTCCACTCTCTGGTTGTTCCACGAGCAGCCATGAACAACCTATGAAAAAGAAGAAAGCCCCAAATTATTTAGAGGTAAAAAACTACTAGAAAATTCTTAGGACTTTGGCACTTATACTATGAATTTCTAACGCTAACTAACATTATGTGGTGAGAGACACCACATGATCGCAAAACTTTCTCACCTCCAAGACTTTAAGTACACATCAACTCTATTCTGCGCCCATTCCATTGAGGCAAATTGGGATTAGAACCCAGTGGAGGCTCTCCAGTGGTACCTGTAAACAGAAGTGATAGAATAAATGGAAGTCCATCGGACAGTAAGTTTTAATTCTACACGTAGAACAAGACTAGATAATAACACAAGAATGAGACAACCGATTCCCGCATTTTTAACCGATTTTTCTCATCAAAATTTGCCACCAATAAAGAAGCAAGTGTATACGGTCCTCAGCTTATTATGACCCCTAATCACTCACCTTCGTGGTACTGATATTCGTTTACATATATTTGACAGCGTATTGCTATAAATCGTAATCTTGCACGAGCTGAATTCGCACGATTTACCGCTTTTGTTGTGACCTGTTTAGCCAATATTTAGCAACGAACGTTTCCAAATCATTCGTGTCCCGATAGGGTTGAGAGACAATCTAAATTTCGAAGTTTGATCTCGTGAGAAACCGCGAGACGCGCTCAGTTATTGTGATCGCAACACAAGAAATTGACATACTATCTTACATAAGTAATAATACAATAATAGCAATATTCTCTGTAGTAGTTTGAAGTAAGTATCACATTACGCGCACGCAGGTAATCAAGTACATTAAACCCCTATCGGGGCAAGAATGATTTGGAAACGTCCGTTGCTACATATTGGCGCCCCGATAGCTTCTAAATTATGTCTAAACAGGTCGCGACAAGTCGCCATTTTAGCGGTAAATTGTGCAAATTCAGCTCGTGCAAGATTACGATTTACAGCAATACGCTAGCAAATATATGGAAACGAATATCAGTACCACGAAGGTGAGTGATTAGTGGTCATAATAAGCTGAGGAACGTATACACTTATTTCTTTATTGGTGGTAAATTTTGATGAGAAAAATCGGTTAAAAATGCGGGAATCGGTTTTCTCACTCTTGTGTTATTATCTACTCTTGACGTAGAAGTATAGTCCCAAGGATTTGAGGTGGGCAAAAGAGTAACACAGCTGAGGATAACATCCCACTTATTTTTGGTGCTTCCAATCCAAAACATTCTACTGTTACATTACACTAACCTTTTCATACAACCAGGAGTATAAGTCGCCTTTCTCCCACTTGCTGGCAAGGAAACTAGGGAGAATCTTTACAGTGGTTGATTTCTCGACATCGACCTTTTCAGCCAGGATATCAAGGTATGCATGGATAACCTGAAAAGAAAAAAACAAGCCCTTCGGCTATAAGGGTTCGCTGCTTATTCTCTTAATATCATAGAGAGGAATTTGCTGAAAGAAAATTCAATTCTGCATTTCTTACAGATGGTTAGGATGCCTTTTTTTTACTGAAATGGCAGCAAATTCATCATTAGTCAAACAAGTAGGCCCCATGGTGGTGAAGTGTTATTTAATTAATACCACATAATTTGATACCACTTTGCATTACCAAAGTGCAGCATCTACCAATGGGCAGGATTCAACAATCTGCATGTGTTTTTATTAGCATGATTAGTGCATATTGAAATTTGTGAATTAGCTTACCTGATCACTCAGCCACTTGCCAGGTTGAAGGGTACCAAGGTCTTCTGTCTGCAGATTGCTGGTTCCGACATGTACCGTCTTCTGTGCCGTGGTTTCAGCTCCTCTCTCTTCGGCATATTTCACATATGCAGGTGCATCCTGCAAATGGCTTGGCATCTCCTCTAAACTTTGAATAAGGGCAGCTGGGTCCATACCAAATTTGAAAGATTTGAGCAGCAAAGTTGAGACGATCATCAATGTTTCTTTGTGATAATCATTATCCCTCACAGCTTTCAGTTTTGATAAAATGTATGCCCCTAAATCACAAACGTCATCTTCATTGATCGATAAATCATTCAGAAACGAATACGGCCCATTATCCTCTCTCGACATGCAATGAGTTAGCTGGTGAAATGTTGCTTGAATGTTATGTTTTTTGCTTTCATCATACAGGCTGAGAAGTTCTTCCACTAAAATTGCACGTAATTTTTTCACAAGTCGACTCTGACGGGGAGCAACAGTATCAGCAATCAGGTCATCTATCTTGCGTGTTTTGGTCTTCCTTTCGTCCTGTTTCTTGTCTTTGCTGACACTTCGTTCTCGTTTTGTTGATTTCTTTTCACACTTCTTTCTAATACCCGTGACAGACTGATTTGAACCTTTGGGTCTCCCACNAACATTCCCCTCTACTTGATCAGGCGCCTGGTATGAGGAAGTGGTTTTCAAATCAGGAAGGAAGTCCGATGTCTCATCACATGCTTCAGTATGTTCAGTGTCCGATGCAGACTTCACATTGACGTCTGAATTGTTGGCTGAGGAACGTTCCGAGTTCAAGTGCTAAAATGGCCAGCCGGCGTCAACCTTTGCAGTTGAACCTGCAAGCATTTGGCGTTCTTCTTCAAAGGGGCCACTTGGCCCACCATCTTTTTGGCAACTGTCATCCTTCAGCAAGTGGGGTTCATTGTTGTTCTTATCAGTGACCATATCTAGGACTACATCTGATTCAAACTGAACTCCTTGGGCTCGGGCCCTTCCAACAATCACTTCCAAAGCTTCACCACTGACAATGGCATTTTTAATGTCCTCCATGTTCTTCATGTACTTCATGAATGTATCTTGTCCGTGTTCAGCCATTGCACCTGCTATTTGTCTGCACAGTATATTTGCTTTGTTGAATTTCTCTGTTCGTTTGAGAATTGTCTTCTGATCACTTATTGACCACACAAACAGTTGATGATTGCTGTGAGGGTCTCTGGTCACTGGCAGGTCCAAGAACTTCTTCACACAACTGCTAAGCCCTCTTCCAACGCTGACCAACTAAACACTCATCAAACAATGGTTTTGATTTCTGTCTACACACCATGAAAATGTGTCTGCAAGGCAACACCATGCTGATAGCAAATGAGCATGAGCAGGTTGTCATTTCCTTGTTCAACTGCTTGATTTCTTGTGACGTGTCTAATACAGAACGTGTCTTTCTCTTCGTTGTAAGTACATGCGTACTGGGTGTTCATGGCAGGCTGTGCATTAAGTTCACCACAGACTTTACTTGCTGCAAATGGAGTGCAGATGATGTGGTATTCATATGCAACTTTGGAAACACTAGCACTGGTATAGGTGTATGAGCGTGTTGTCTTCAACAGCACCAAGTTTCGCTCATTCTGATATTTTTTCTTCCTACTAAATGACAGAAGGGCCTCAACACAAGCAGCAACAGACTTCCTTGCATTCAATGTACTTTTTAATTTTTGATGGAATGATTCTAGTCTATTTGTGGTTCGGTTTCCAAATGTCACATTGTCCCTTTGTAGCGCTGTATTTAACAGTCTACAAATAGAGTGAGTGTTTCGCAATGCTACTATGTAAAGTCAAAGCCATAAATGAGAGAAAGCCAGTTGTACCATGATTTGAAGTTTAATGTAGATTCTACTTATTATAGCTGCTGTCGCGGTCGTGCCTATCTGTGCCTGGTTGAGGAGCGATTCCCCGATTTCCCTTGCGCTCCGCCTTATATACACAGGCCCGACCGCGAACTACGCATGCGCCACGCATGCGCTGTTCACAAATACACACCTTTGCCGCAATTCAATTACTGTCACAACATCTCATCGACGCAGCGCCCTTTGTGTTTCAATCACTGTCATCGCATCGGCATTTGTCGTAATTCAATTACTAGCGCCTCGTCGCGGCGCTCTTTGTAATTCCTTCACCGTCATAACATCAAAGTGTCGGCGTTATGAATGCCGTCATATCATCGGCACTGACAGCGCCCTTTGTGATTCAATTGCCGCTATAACATCAAAGTGTTGACGCTATGAACGCCTTCATATTGTAGTGCCTCTAGGGTGGCCGACTACGGTTCGACAGACGTTAGTTCGTAACGCGTGTCCAGTAGTTGGATCCAGAGTCCGCTCCTGTCGATGTATCAGGCAGGACGGCAATGACACGTAGCAAATAACAGGTACCCCAGTTAAACAGAACACGGTGAGCTTCGGTTAACGATACGGTGATATAGCTTTTATTGCGTGTTACGAATGTACAAATGATTCCCCTGCATTCGTATATGCAGCGGCCTTTTATTGATCTCGTCTACTATCTACGCGTCGCCGGCTCCGTCTGCTTCCCTCACGTTCGTCCTTGCCTTGCGTGGGTCCACACAGTCTCCCAGGTGTCTCCCTCGCAGTCGCTCCTAGCTCTACCAGAATGCCGTTCTTCGCCCGTTTTATTTCCCTTTCCCGTTCGGCTCTGGTTTACACCTACCTAAAACCTGTGCGTCTATTCTCTCGCTACAACGCTGCCGTTCGCTCTCTCTCCGTTCCTTCCTCCCTCTCCTTCTTCTTCCCGCCTTCCTACCTATAACCTATCCCTGAAAAATAACTTCCTCTTTCTCCTCGTTCTCGGCTGCTTCTCCTTCTTCTTCTTCCGCTTCCTGTTCTTCCTGGACCTGTACCTATAACTGCCTGAGCTGCGATTCTGTGCTCCTTTTATACCCGCTGGCAACACCCCCCCCCCCTAGGGTGTTGCGCCCTCCGTACCTGGCAGTACCGTGCATGACTCATTGCGATGTCGCAACCCGACCCGCCCGTGGCTTGGCACCGATTATTGCGTCATCGCAGGCAACCCATTTCTAAGTGAATATTCCTCGTTTTCGCCCGACAGGCGGCAGCAGCAGTATGATCCAATATGGCTGCGCCCAGGGGTGTGCGTGTTGACATATATCTATGTGCAATCTATATCTTATCCTCTCTTTAGTCAATATATATCGTTATTCTCTCTATACGGTGAGTTCAGTCTATTGGTCCCGATCTAGTCTACTACTCCTGTAAGTGATACACCCCCGAGATCTCCACAACTCCCCCCAACTACTTTTAGTATCCGCCCTCGGATACGCCTTTGTCTCCCAGTTCTACCCTTCCAACATGTCCGTGAACTTGAACTTGACCACAACAACAACAACAACAAAATGAGACTGAAACGAAGTCTTTCCTGTTTCATATAAATATCTCCTATATTCCTATATTCATTTTGGGCAACAATATCAGGAGGTAGCTGGGTCTGTACATAATAATTAATATATATATATTTATAAAGAGATTACCTAGATTTATTCCTGAGTTACATGGATAGGGTGGACGAATCTCTGCACGGGTAGCAATATATATATCTATATATATCTAGTTATCATATATCGCATGGCAGTAATACTGTATAAATGAGTACATGTTTAAAATAACATAGAGGTATATGGNGTGGGTGGGGGAGAGTGGGGGAAGGGGCGGGGGGAGGGGGTGGGGGAGGGGGAAGGGGGAGGGTGGGGGGAGGGGGCTCTAATAGCAAAAGCAGTTCACTCCTTTGTTAAAAATCAACAATTCCATGTTTAACCCTCCTCTTGAGAGTCAAAAGGTTATCAGACACTTACTCTTCTCACATCAGTGGAAAGCACATTTCATGGTCCTTTCAATAAAGCCATAAAAATGGTAGGTCACCGCTGAAACAAAAAAGTTTTTCAATCGCTCGGTCACACCATGTCCTCAGAAAATGTCTAAAATCTGCCGTGCCCCATTGACCTTTGACCTGTGGCCTCCAATTTCGGTGCAGTGATGGCTTTTCCTACCATGATGCTATACACCGACTATCACGAGCCTAGGTCGAGCCGTTTAGATTTGTGCCGCAGTTCTGCATTTCCTCCCTATACCTTAAGTTAAGGAGTGAATGTTCCCTTCTTTTACACCTCTTGAGCTTTGACCTTTGACCCCCAGCTTCGACATCCCAACTCGTTTTCGGATTACCACCCCACGTCCCGAATATCGTGACCGTGTGTCAAGCGGTTAAGATTTGTGCCCAACTGTTGACGGACGGACGGACGCTCGCACGGACGGACGATCATGCGATTCTACAAGCTGCATCGGACTATGTCAGATGAGCTAAAAACTGGAGACCCATTTCACTTCTAAATGCCTCTTATAAACTTGCATCATCATGTATTGCAGAACGCATAAAAACAACTCTCGAGAATTTAATTCATGAAGATCAAAAAGGGTTTATACCAGGTGAGGAAGATTTATAGGTGAAAATACAAGACTTATATATGACATTAGGTGCGTTCACACTGGCGCGAATTAGCGAGCTGCAAATCCCGGTTTTTGCAGCCCGCTCGAAAAACCGAGCTTTTTACAAGTGTGAACGCAATTAGCTCACTAAATCGCACTCAAAATAGCGCGCTGCAAAGAAGACTTCCGACTACGCTAATTTGGAATAAGCGCGCTTATTTGCACCGCGGCGTTATCCCGCTCGGCGATTAGCGAGATATTTGCACCACGGCGATTAGCGAGATATTTCCGCCTGTGTGAACAACGACACAATTAGCTCACTATTATCGCCGCTATTAGCGAAATGAGCAGCGCGGTTTTTCTTGTGTGTGAACACGCCTATTATGTACGAAACCGAAAGACAAAACATTCCAGGACTCCTAATGATTATAGATTTCGAAAAAGCATTTGATACAGTGTCATGGGCTTTTATAGAAAAGGTACTAGAAGCATTTAATTTTGGTGAATCAATCAAGAAATGGATAAATTTATTTTACAAAGATGCAAAGTCTACTATAATCCAAAATGGCAACTTTACAGAATTCTTTAATCTCGGCCGGGGATGTAGACAAGGAGACCTGCTCTCACCTTATATTTTTATTCTGTGTGTAGAAATACTGGCAATGGCTATCCGAAACAACCCTCAAATTAAGGGTATCAAAATAGGAGATACTGAACATAAACTTAAACAATTTGCAGATGATACAACACTGTTCTTAGAGGACAACGAAAATACAATTTATGAAGTTTGGATCGCTCCAGAGGCAGGAAACTCAAACGTCTTAACGCTCCCGTTGAAATGATATATAACCATTAAATGGTTTCATTTAATCTGCAAGAACAGAACAATTACAAATGCATTAAATGCCACATTCACCATAACGAACATAAATCCAACATGGCTACCATCCTGCCACAAGCGTGAACACGCCCCTCTTATTTTGATGCCTCGGTCTCACTTGCGTTAATTAACCTACCTCAGCGTATCAGGAATTTGGGTGCATAAGGGTACGTTAAGATACGTTAAGGTACGTTGTAGTACACTACGGTACACTGAGGTAGGTTAAAAATCTGCAAATGACTGGGATAAGCGAGTGATAGTAGAGTGACTTAATGTACGTTGCGCATAGGGCTTACAGTACGCTGTGCTACGCCTAATGTTGGTGTTAATGTGCTGTGTGGTTAGGTTCCTTACGGATACATTAAGGTCACGTTCGCTAGGTTAGCGCGTACACTGTTGATAACTGTGATACGCCTGCGCTACATGTCGCTACGCCTAAGGTACGTTATGGTAGCTAGCCACTACGTTAACGCGCAGCGCCTGGGTTAGTTCGCTACCGCATGCGGTACAGTAACGTCGCCATTTGCATTCTAGCTTTTACCAGCATCAGACCTCATCAGTTTTTATTCCAAATATTCTTCAAATTTCTAACAATGGCTAGAGGCAAAAGTGGAAAAGCAAAGGGAAGAGGGAAGACTACAGTTCTTCAGGGTCAGACGCAGAAGGTTTGACGGTGGGGGAGGTCAAAGAGGGGGAGATATGAC